AAGACGAGGAGAAGGGAGGAGGAGAAGGGAGGTTTCGAGCCGCTTGAAAGAAATTAGAATAGAAGAAATCCACGCAAAAATAGCCAACAAAACCCAACAGTTTTCGGGTGACGGAGCCGTGGGCTGGCGGGGCACGGGATGGAGGGTGCCGAACGCTAACAAAAGGCCTCTGCTTCGATTCCAGCCGGGGCTCTGCGGGGCCAGGGGAAGGAGGACCCCAAAGCAGAAGAGGACACAAAAGGCAAGGAGGAAAGTTTCTCCATGGACAGCGATCTAGACTATAGCTCGGACGACAACATCCCCGGCCAGGCGGCTCACAAGGAAGAGGACTCTGGCAACGTGCTGGAGGAAAGCCCCCAAAACCCCCCCAATTCCACTAACACCACGTCCACGGGCAAAAACCGGCGGAGGCGAACAGCCTTCACCAGTGAGCAGCTGCTGGAGCTGGAAAAGGAATTTCACTGCAAAAAGTACCTGTCCCTAACCGAGAGGTCCCAGATCGCTCACGCCCTCAAACTCAGCGAGGTGCAGGTGAAAATCTGGTTCCAGAACAGACGAGCTAAATGGAAACGGGTCAAGGCGGGCAACGCCAACTCCAAGACAGGGGAACCCTCCCGAAACCCTAAGATCGTGGTCCCCATCCCGGTGCACGTTAGCAGGTTTGCGATCAGGAGTCAGCATCAGCAGCTGGAGCAAGCCCGACCCTGAACTTTCTCGATGCTCAGAACCACAAGTTTTTGAGGGAAAAGTTTCCAGATTGGGGTTTAAGGGCAACCCACACACACAAAATATATCATGAAGCAAAAAAAAATACCAACCCAAACCCTAAAGCAAACAGCCAACAAGAAAAAAGTCCTACACGAGCGCACAGCAAATCCCCACCACAAATGAACTTTAAAGTGAAACTTTCCACTTACCGAGTCGAGCGAGAGTCTGCGAAGGGAAGAGGCTTGGAAAACTGTTTTTGGTTCGGAGCAGGGATGTCAAACCCTGGAAGAGAGACAGATATTTATTATTATGCTGCCCTGCTTGGTACATCCCTGGTGCTGCCGTGGGAGCGGTTACGGTGTCGGCGCCGGATCCAGCAGCGATTTGCCCGATGTCCCCCCGCGCCGCAGAGACCCCCCAGCAGAACCCGCAGCCCGCCGCTAGCCATCCTTTCTTAGCCGGGGCAAAAAGGTAAAAAAAAAAAACAAACAAACAATCTCAACAACAAAAACAACCAACAAAAAAACCCCCCAAACAAACAGATGAGAGAACAAAAATGAAAAAACTAAGTTTCATTTCATGCCTTTTTTATTATTCGGTTTTATTTCCCATGGCCGAGTGGCAGGCACTGGGGGACGGTGTTTTAAATCTATTTTTTGCCTGGCTTTCTGTCGATTTGGTTTGCCTATTCTACCAAGCCATGTTTAAAAGAGAGAGGGGGTAAAAAAAAAAAAAAAAAGGCACGATCTTCTTTATTGTGTTTAATTTATTTCAGTGTAGCTTATTTCCTTATAAGTTATGAAATTTAAAAGCAAACTAAGTCTTGTGAATAAAAGCGGACAAAGAAACAAAAAAGACCAAAAAAAGAAAACCCAAACCCGACACCACACCAAATCCTCCATCCCCCGGCTGATTCTGTCCAGAATTTGGCGTTGAGCTGATTTTCGTTTCCCTTCCCGCGCTGCCAGAGAGGAGCGATGCTGGTCTCGAAGCCACATTTATCGTCGGGGGAGGGAGATGGGCAAAAAGTTTTGTGTGTTTGTTTT